ACTCTTGTAACCAGTGAATTTTTAATTAATTAATATATCAGAAGGGGTTTTATGGAGATTTAGTAATTTCATAGCTGCAAGCGTGAGTCAATTGAAGCTAGACAACCAAGGAAAACCTGGAAGCAATGGACGGCCGTTTCATCCCATTGTAGGACTCCTCAGTAGTGCGCATCCACAACCGTACCTCGCGAGATTCGAACATAGGACCTACAAGTCTCGCGCCAGAGCACATAACCGATAGACCACTAATCCGGCATCCGATGGTGTTAATGTCTAACTACAACCAATCCACGAAGTTGAGCGACCTTTCACCAATTGTCTTCAGTGAGATCCTATCTCACAACAGATATGGTTTGAACTCCACTGGTTACAGCTGAGGAGTCTCAGAATAGGACTAAACGGCCGTTCAGTGCTATCAAGTTTTCCTTGGTGGTCTAGCTTCAATTGACTCACGCTTGCAACTATGATAATTTATATATATACAATAATATAGTGAATTATTAACACTATGGACAGTTCAATAATAAATGGCTGTAGGGAAATGCGAACAAAATAAAATATGCCATTTTAATTGTTGAAACGGCTTCCGAGAAGTATGACGGAGCCTCCAGAGGACTCAAAGGAGCCGAAGAGTTCCCATCTAATCAGAATATGATGGAGATTCTTAGAATATCAACGCGGCATGCTACTAATGGACAGTAACATAACATGCCTCTTCACGGATTGGCTGAATTATAATGTTAATATAACAAACGCTAATGTCTATAAATACCCACTGAGTTTTTGTACAATTTGATTCTTATCCAACAAACACCTCTCCAGCTTTCTTCTATTTTCTGATTTGCAACTGCAAGGGTTCTATACCTTCGAGTTGTTGTAGTTGTATATCGTATTTTGTGTTCATCAAAAAGTAAACTTAATATTAATAAGAATATGAACTTAGTCTATATTGATAGTTGAAATCATGAGTCAATTGAAGCTAGACCACCATGGAAAACCTGAAAGCACTGGACGGCCGTTTCATCTTATTGTGGGACTCTTCAGCAGTGTTCATCCACGATCCCACCTCACGAGATTAAAAACTAAGGGATCGTAGATGTACACTGCTGAGGAGTCCCACACTGGGACGAAACGGTCGTCCAGTGCTTCCTGATTTTCCATGGTGGTCTAGCTTCAATGCACTCATAACTTCAACTATGAAGATACTGAAATCTCCACAAAACCCCTTCTGACTAATCTATATTCATTAAACAAATTAAAGAAGAAGCAAATGATGAATAAAGAAAATAGGATAAAAAAAGCAAGCTCATGACTTATGTTTTTTTAATCAGCAAGTAAATAGTTCATTATTCATTCGCCTGGTTTGCTGAGAAAAACAAACATTACTTACCTTAAGTAAATAATTGAATATTGAAAGGATTATTCAGGTTCATAAAATAGATTTGACGCTATTTTCGACGGTCTCCACCACTTTATTGGCCCTGTATTTGAATCAAATTAGATTGTTTGCAAATTGTCATCGAAATACACACGTCAGCTATCCTCGTATGTAACCATCGACTTAATTCGCGTTAGTGAGTAACGGAATTAAAGAAACCAAATGCCCATCAAATGCTCTGGTACGAGCAAGAGTGGGGAGAATAAGCTCTGTATCTCGAAAAGCTCTCACATGGTCACGTGAATATAACCATCAACAAGGATGTCCTATTCACTGCATTCTCGCGGCATTACTGTTGTTTACGAAATTAAGAGGACGAAAAGAGAATATCCGGCCCCTTAACCAGGTTGTGAGATACGGTGAGTCCACCTGGGGGAGTTGGAAAACCTTGATTCCAAACCAATGGTGTACATGGACTCCAGTATCGTGAGGGAGACGTATGAAACAATCATTGGTAACCGGGTATCATGAGACTGCATCCCCTTACGTTACTCCACTGCCTTATGGATTAGACGTTTAGGTCAAAGGGTCCGGGTGTGATCCTCTAAGGAAACCACACGCTTGTGTTTAGGCCCTCGGGTAGTATCTCAGCCGTCACACAAGTCAAGTGACTTGTGTTGCGCATATGTATTCGGTGCTTCCTTGTACCGATGTTCATGTGTTTAAATAAATAAAAAAGAAAAATAATTCTGCAAATCTATTCATAGATTTACATTTTACGCGCTACTATAAAAGTGTTAATATAAATAAATTAAATAATCAATTATGTACATAATGTCTAATTTGATCAAGATATTTACTGATTGAATCAGCAGGAAATCCTGTTATATACAAGTTTGTATTTGGTAAACATCAACAAGATAGGGGTGACTTACATCACCACCACTACTGCCATCATTAAGAGCATCATCATCACCACCATCATCAACAGCATCATCATCATTATCCTTGAATGTCCCATCTATTAATTTAATCCCCATGATAATCTTTTTAAATTCACTATAGAATGAACTCATTTGTGTTGATTTTGTCTGTTTAAAAAATAGCCTAAAGCTAAATTAAACATTAAAAGCCAGTCAAATGAATTAGTGATAATTGTAATTTCTAATTGAAATCTTAAAGAAATAATATGAGACACTCTAATGATTTAGGGATAGAATAAAATTCAGATTTAAACATTACTTATTTACGTTTGTTATCCCTCGTCGAGGACCATGGGCCGCCCGCTGTCCAGCATTCTCCATCCAATCCTGTCCTGGGCATTCCTTTCTGGTTCTTTCAAGTTGCCATTCATCATTTTCCTATCTGTTTCTATTTCCCGACATAATTTGTTCTTTGGCCTTTCTATTTTCCGCTTTTTTTCAGAATTCCAAGTCAAGGATTGCCTCGTGATGTAGTTTGATGAATTCGTTAATGTCTGTCCTATCCACTTTCAATGACTTTTTCTAATTTCCTCTTCATCTAGAAGCTAGTAGTATCTGGCCAATGAATGTTGAGTATTTTACGTAGACAACTGTTTATAAATTTTTGTAACTTATTGATGATGGACGTAGTAGTTCTTAACGTTTTAGCTCCGTACTAAAGAACTAACTATATTGACGTTCAAATTGAAGATTTGGACTTTGAAATTAGTTGACAGTTGTTATGAAGGAAACAATAACTAAATGAGATGAAAGTTTAGTAAACACTAGTAGAAAATAGGGTGAGACGATACACTAATATGTCTTAGATACGCTTTATAAAAAGAACATATGCGTATCATCATCATCATCATCATCATCATCATCATCATCATCATCATCATCATCATCATCATCATCATCATCATCATCATCATCATCATCATCATCATCATCATCATCATCATCAGCAGCAGCAGCAGCAGCAGCAGTATCATCATCATCATCATAATGTCAAATATGTGAATCCTTTTGAGAAGTACACTTTAATAACCAGTTTCTTTTAAAAACTAAGTAATTACTAATAGATTCATAACTTAGGAAATGTATTCTTTCATAACATTTAAGGATGAAATGCAAGTCCTGTTTTACACTGCCAGCCACCATTCATCTTCGCTTATATATGGTTATTTTTAGTAATTAAAAAGGTGTTTAATTCCCTTTGATTTACAGTTTTGGATTAGATCAAATGGATAAATATCATACAAAAAAATGTATTTAAGATACCTGGTTGAATATTTGGAAAAGTATGGTACAATGTTAAAATGATAGAGGTTCTTTATAGCTCAGATCACTAGTTTTATTCATGTCTAAATAACTGCTCAAGGTCATAAATTGTTTGAAGTTACAGATCAACACCGTCGGACAACAACTCAATAGGCTACATGTGAAACAAAACCGAAGTTCCTTTGTTTGAGTCTCACGATCAAAATCGTGAACACTCTTTACTGAAGAGTCTCATACTCGGACGAAAAACTCGTCCAGCTATAATTCCAGCTATTCAATGGTTAGTCTAGTTTCTGGATCGATTCATGAATCCCAGTGTATTAAACAATATTTTTATTGAATATAACTTTCATTGATGATAGGGAGTGAAGTAGTTGACCGCTTCACTTATCTTGGGAGTCTCATCAGCCCCTGTGGTCTGGTGTGTGACGAAATCTCAGCACGGATACAGAAGGCTCATCTAGCTTTCGCCAACTTGCGTCATTTATGGCGTAGGCGAGATATCCGTCTAGCAACCAAAGGACGGGTTTACTGTGCAGCAGTTCGTTCCGTCCTACTTTATGGAAATGTAACATGGCCGATAAGAGTAGAGGATATTCATAGGCTACTAGTATTCGATCATAGGTGTCTTCGAAGCATTGCTCGTATATCCTGGGACCACCGGGTAAGTAATGCAGATGTTAGGAAACGGGTACTAGGTAAGGATGGCAAATCGATTGATGAAGTAGTGAAACTTCATCAGTTGAGATGTCTGGGACATGTGTTACGTATGCCCAACCACCGACTTCCCCGACGTGCAATGTTTCATGGTGTAGGAGTAGGTTGGAAGAAAGCTAGGAGTGGCCAGACCAAAACGTGGCACAAATCAATGAAGTCACTGACAAGTGTACTGAGTCACGCTGGTAGGTGTAATCCACCTGGTTGGAATCCGTGATACAATAACATCCGACGGTTAGACACCTTGAATGACATGGCTCAAAATCGTTTGCAATGGTGGAGGTGCATCCACTGTTTGTGTTCTATCAAATTCTAATCTTCTTAATTCTTCATATCTCTATCTTTTTTCTCTGTCCAAATTTATTTCATTGGATTTTACTCCTTGAATAACATCTCCAAGCCCTAATCTTTCATATTACTGCTTATACTCTTACTACTTCTACCTTTATGCGATTTGAATCGACAACTTTATCTCTCTACTAATTTGTTATGGCAACTCAAACTGATGTACGTATGTACTTTCGAAGTTCTACGTTGTGACTGACTGACTGACTGACTGACTGACTGACTGACTGACTGATTAACTGATAACTTTCATTGATGTGTAATTCAGTATTTATGTTTTTTTTTAAATTTTTTCTTCTTCTTCTTTTTTACAGAATTACAAGTTACACAATCATCATCATCGTCTAATCTATCAATGAATCTATTTCAACAAAACTCTTCATATTGGTCATGTTATCCTAATCATCATAATGAACAACATTCATTACATCATCATAAATCCCCTTATCAAACAATATACATTCAAACTGTTTGTTATCAACTAATATATAATTTATGGTTATTAATACGTTGTTTATTTACATTATTATGTTTGTTACCAACATGTTTATGTCATTGGTTACTATGCGGTAATCAAAAAATTAAACGATTCAAATATTATAATTATAATTATAGTTTTTTATTTTATTTATATATTATTATTAAATTATTATATTTAATCAATATTATTGGACAATTATATTTAATGAAATTGTTTCTAGGGGTAAAATCATATTTTTTTGGTTACTATGTTATAAAAGATTTAATAAATGGTCATATATGGAATGAAACAGGACATTTTCCACGTGTTACATATTGTGATTTTGAAACAAAAAAATTGGGAAAAAATTACAAGTAAGTAACAATTTTTGGGGTTGATTTTTGTATTTTTTTTAATTTTATAGACCACTAGTGAAGAAACTTGAAAGTATTAGAAGGTTGTTTCATCCTAGCAGTGAGTATCCACCATCCCGCTTTTCGGGATACAAACTCAAGCCCTACCAGTTTCGTGGATTGGTTGAGGTTAGACAATAATACCTCTGGATGCCGGCTCAGTGGTCTATCGGTTAAGTTCTCTGGAGCGAGACTGGTAGTTTCTTGGTTCGAATCTGGCGAGGCGGGATCGTGGATGCGCATAGGCTAAGGAGTCTCACAGTAGAAGAATCGATTGTTCAGTGGTTCCAGGTTTTCCATGGTGATCTAGCTTCAATTGAATCATGATTTAAGTATATAATAATTACTAAAATCTCCAGAAATTTGTCTTAGTTGCTAGTGCTTTGTTAAAACCAGGTTTATTTGTAAAATCTCTTGACACATCAATTTTGATCTTCCTAATAACGGAAATATGATCCATTGTGAATTTTCAACTATAAAACAATGAAATAAAATAATAAATTGTCTAGATCAGTAAATGGTTAACATAGATTGATCAATAACGTTTAAGCCGGCGAATGCCCTGATACGGCTTAGGGTGAGGAGAGTCAGCTCTCCATCTCGAAATGCTCTCACATGGCCACGTGCATAGAGCCGCTAACAAGGAAGTCCCACTCGCTGCCTTCTCTTGGTTGCTGTGTTGTTTAAGAAATTGGGAGGACGAAAACTGAGTGTCCGAAGCTTTAACTGGGTCAGAGGATATGGAGGACCAACCTAGGGGAGTTGGAAAATTCTGATTGTGAACAAATGGTGCACAAGAGCTCCAGCATCACGAGAGAACAAATGGCGTATGAATCAATCATTGGTCATCGGTTACCACGGGACTACATCTCCTTACAATTCTTCACTGCTTTGTGGATTAAAGCTTTAAGTCAAAGGCTAGGGGTGTGGCCAACTGCTTCTGTTCAGGGCACCTGAGTAGTATCACAGCGCACGGACAAACCGAGTAACTTGTACTGTCCATATGTATTCGGTGTCCGTTTGTGCAAAAACTTATGCATTCTTATAGATAAATAAATAAATGAAGTTACTGGTCTTTCCTGTTCATCTACGCGAAGTGAACCTACTTCTGATATCAATGAGATACACTTCAGTATGTATGTCATCGAATCCGGTACTGAAGCTTAAGTTACTGTTTAGTAATAGGATGAAACTCAATTTTTCAATTCGTTTAGTTTATCAAGTAAATTTCATTGTACCAAAAATCCCATGAATAATGTTACAACCGTTCTACTGAAGTGAGAAATGACCAACAACGGAAATTAAGATAATAATCTATAAAATATTTTGTCTATGCATGATTCAAATACCGCAAGTGGGGTCGTATATGCACACTGCTGAGGAATCGCATACTAGGACGAAGCAATCACCTAGTGCTTCCACGTTTTCCATGATGGTCCAGCTTACATCGACTGATGAATTCAACTATTGAAATGACTATAATCTCCACAAAACCCCCCTTTGTGATAATAAACTTTATTCATTACATACTTATCAGTGATACTATATAAAGTCATTTTCTATGATACATTAGCAATAAACATTGTATGTAACATACGGTCTTGACAAATCAAACTATTATGTATATAAAGGAAGCATGTTTCCCACGGAAAAATGAATACAGAAGAGTTGGCACCCAAATTGTTTGTATTTGAATGTTCACAACACCTTTTCCTACTTTATGATAACAGAACAACTATCGAATGATCTACTTAGTATTGTTTATTCGAATCTTACCATTGATGTTTTTAAGACTGCAACTAGTCAGTCTCTAATTGGCATATGTACATACTGTGCATATTGCCTCGATATAGCCTTATTTCATAAGCATTATAAACAAAGATGGATAGTGTCTAGTAGTGAAATCCAGGAAGCGCGTTTCGTCCTATTTGGGACTCATCAACTGGATGTACCTGCATCTCAGAGTCGATGTTCACTCTGGGACTCGAACCCAGTACCTTTCACTTCGAAAGCCATCGCGTCATCCATTCAGGACAAAACGTGCATCCTGGATTCCAATACTAGCCAATATCCTTCTTTTCTTATCGAATGATTGCTTACCATCTGCGTATTTCTGAGATCGTTTCATTATTGATTTTGTATTTAAATACCAACCCTCTACTCTTTAAACGTACTAGTGAATCTACTACTTGTAAGTAGTATCATGATAATGTATATCACAAGTCTACTTGAAGATGTCACTGATTAATAGAGTATATATGTTTCGAGCTTATTACAATACAAAGTACTAGTAGTGTCATAATTTATATCAATGTTTTAACATGACACGAGGAAAAGAGATTTACGTTCACATCTAGATCATTATCATGATGATTTAAATCTTACAGTTGTAGTGAACGAGAACACTAATGAAGACAATCAAATGTATTTGAATATAAAATTACAGAATATTTTAGTGCAATTTGAGAACCATATCAATCAATCGTCTCAGACTTCATTGCTTCCTCATTTCTACACTAATCATTCTTTGCTCTCATACTCTTTTATTTGATCTTATTAACCTTTTGCTTTCAAATATTTCACTTTTGATTTAATGATACATACTACTTATATCTATTGATATAAGTATGCTACATAAACGATAACGTGAATTTGAACTTTTTACTTCCATCTTTAGCTGGAAAATTGATCTAAAACGATCACTCAACTTCACCCCTTATACAGAGTCAATAAGAAAGTAGATCTTTCATGATGAAACTTCTTTTTCTTTTATTAAAAGTCAAAATCAATTAAACATGATATATAAGAACTATAGATTGAATATGGTTTTGGTATAAGTAGTATAACATTTTGTACTTATTCTGAATAACATTGTACTAAGTAAATTATTATGCTTATCTACTTGGCTTAAATTACACTTATCATTATGTTTAAACTAATCGATTATTCTGAAAGCTAAACACTATGATGTTTAGTGTATGGATGTCTTTCAATTGATTTTTAAGTCTTTGAAAGGCTTCCAAATATCAGACTGTTACTATATATATAGATAATAAGGTATATATATTTGAGATCTGTGAGATGATAGCAATCGATGGTTAGAGACCTTGAATGATATGGGTCAAAATCGTTCTGCAATGGTGAAGATGCATCTACTCATTGTGTTCTACCAAATTCTAATCTTGTCAATTCTTCATGTCCCTTTACTTTTTCTCTTTCCAAATTTATTTCAATGGATTATACCCCTTGAATAATATCTTCAAACCCTAATATTTCCGATTACTGCTTATACTCTTACTACTGTAGTGTAGTCGACTTATATCCATATAAGTAGTATATGGTGATAGTCGTACATAGAATGTATTTTGGCAGAAGATCGATAAAGAAAGAACAGGGATGAAACGCAATCGGTATGAAAATGCATAAACAATGAAATCAGAGAAGATGGATTGATATTTTGAGAAGGAACAGTGAAGATTGAGACAAATGATTGTTATTTTGCAAATTAACTATTTGCTGTATGTTTATCAAAATTTAGTGAGGTAGTTTGTAATTTCTGCTCAAATACATTCGATTGTCTTTGCCAGTGTTCTGTTTACTAGACTGCCACTATCACTATAGGATTTAAATCGACCATTGTATCTCTATGCTAATGTGGTATACCAACTCGAACTGATGTATTTGTGTACGAAGTACTACGTTGTGACCGAGTGACTGACTGAATGAATGACTGGAGGTGCATATATTTTAATTATAGAAAGATAAAAACCAGTTGTCGAGTTTTATGATATCATATATGTTATATTCTAGGTCAAGATTGAATTACGATTAACTTGTGTGAATGAATAATGAACCTATAGACTATTATGAAACAATTCACTATTCTTAAATTATGGTCAGTTTATTAATTACCATCTATTACGTCCACAGCCAATTCTTGGCTTGATCATTTATAGATATTATTTCCTATTTTATGGTATAATATGGTCTGTTTAGTTGATATATACACCAATTATCTTTGAAATAAATGATTCGTATAATTGAAATTACTATCAGTGTTGTGGATTCAACTAGACAAGCTAAGCAGGAAGAAAGACTGTTATTCATTTATTTATTTGAACACATAAATATTGGTACAAGAGGGCACCAGATATATATGCGCCACACACAAATTGTCATTTCAGTTAATTGTGTAAGGGCTATGATACTATTCGGATGCCCAGACTGAAATTGGTTGTTTTGTTTGGGCGCCACACATGGAAGCTTCTACCTAAATATCTTATCCACAAGGCAGTGAAGGAACACAAGGAGATACAGTCTTATTGTAAGGATGACTCGTTGGTAAACTCAAGGAAGCCTCAAGAAGCCCAGAAAGGGCCAAAGGCATTCCTTCCAATCAACACTAGGGGAATATTCTAGAATGCCGACGTGCTGCTTCCCTAATATATGAATAAGAAAAACTCTTTATTGGCTGTCCAAAATGAGAATTTACTTTCAGTCAAAAACTATAAATACATGAGATTTTTGTACTAGATTTGACACTGTTTGGGGGATAAAATTATTACTTACTAGTTTTACTGTCTTCTCTCTTGCGACGTTGTGGCTTTGATTGTTCAAGTAGTCTAGTAGTACACGGCATAGCAAGAATCGAAACTCTAGATATAACACTTATATTAGCCGGTGACAAACAATAGGTCCATATGTCATTTATTCCGTCGGGATACTGGGGTTCATGTGCACCATTGGTTTGGAATTATGGTTTTCCAATTCCCTTAGGTGGTTTCTCCATATCTACCAACTCATTTAAAGCGATGGACATTCGCTTTTCATCCTCTCAATTTCGTAAGAAACATCCCCGCCACGAGAAGGCAGTGAGTAGAACCTTCCTGGCAGAGGCTGTATCCACGTGACCATGTAAGAGTATTTCGACACAGAGTAAGAGTGGACACTCCCCACTTTCGACCGTACAGAAGGTCATTGATTTGACACAGTATTACCATTATATAACTCATATTTTAATTGATTAATTAACCCAAATTTAAAAAGCCGCCATAAATTCTTCTCTTCTTTTCTTCTCTTTCTTCTTTTTCAGGTACACCCTTCAATGTGTTCTACCATTAAATTTATTTTTAGAAAAAGTTTATGTATTTTTATGGTTTTGGTTTATATTTATTGGTATATTAACTAGTTATAGTTTATTTAAATGGTTATTACGTTTAACTATTAACCATAATCGTATTCAATTTATAAATAAATTTTTATATACAATACAAACTACTGAATTTAATCCAATACTACTTAAATACTTTATTAATCATTATTTACATTTAGATGGTCTATTCTTATTATGGTTAATCTCTATAAATATAAGTGATTTAATTATTCATGATTTAATTATAAAATTATGGAATTTATTTAATATTCGATTAATAACATTGAAATCATCTATATATGATAATAATACTACTTATAATCCTAATATAAGTAGTAGTAGTAGTAGTAGTAGTAATAGTAATGATCGTATTATTCATCCATTGAATCAAAATATAAAGTTCTCTTATACAATAAATGATCCAATGATAATCAATGAATCTAATGTCAATCCAATGAAATCATCTATCTTATTGAAATTATCCAAGAATGAACAAAAGAATTATCATTCTTTGATATCATCTATAGATTCAATTAAAGTAACAAAATATAATACATATAATGATTATCATAATTCTATGATCTATTCTAAACCATTCATTCAATCATATTATCCTGGAACTAAATATGGTGATATAATTCATGGGACTACTACTAATAATACTACTCATAATGTTACTCCTACTACTAATAATAATGATATTACAACTATTTGTCATTCAACAGATCTATTTGAAAGTTCAGATAGTATTGTATAAACTATCTTGGTAATCATTATGATTTTGTGTGTGTGTGTGTGAGTGAGTGTGAATGTATAAATTTTATACAAAATAAAATGTATTTACTTTGATAAAAAGAGAAATAGATTAAAGTTTTCTTTTTGCTTATGAATTGATCTTAGTTAGTTAGTCAGTTAGTCAGTCGACAACGGAGGACCAAGTATATTTATGCATTTGTCCAAGTTGACATACCTCGTTAGCACAACAAGATGAATATCGGATTTATAGAAGTAATTAATTTAGTGATGGTAGTATATAAAAAATAGATTGTATATAAGGATATAGTACAGGAAGAAAGAAAGATATGAAACAATTTTAATCTTAAGGTTTAAGGGTAGACAAAGAGTGTATACATCTAAGCCATTGTGATCGATTCTGAGCCATGTCACCTAAAGTCTTCAACCATTGGTTACGAGAGTTACGCGGACTCCAAACAAGAAGTCTGCATCTGTCAACATGGCTCAAACTAGAAGTTAGTGACTTTTAAGAACTGATCTCAGTAACTAGTGAGTAGTAATATGGTTGGTCACTATAGAAACAATGATTATATATGGTAAGCAGAGATGGATAGTGGCTAGCAGTGGAATCCAGGACGCGCCACTATCCATCTCTGCTTACCATGCTTGTGAATTAAGGTATATCGAGGCAATACGCACAGTATGCACATATGCCAATTAGAGACTGACCAGTTGCAGTCCTAAACACATCGATGGGAAGATCCAAACAAACAATACTAAGTGAATTCAATGATTATATATGTTTTAGCTTCGTTTATCTGATTAAGATGGTGATTTAGGGTTAAGTGAACTTGTGGCTTGAAAATAATGAATAGACTAGTCGGATCAGAAACTAGAATAATCTATTTGGAGTTGACATATTACCAGCCCCTATAACTTCAATATGATTCTATAATGACAGTTTGTTAACAATAAAAAATAGATATAAGCCTATAGAACGGTATGATAGTCACGCTATAACTTAATTTGGCAAACGTTGGACAATATTAGCCAATGAGTTCCGAATCAACAGTCTAAATTTTTTATGCTCTAGTTTTTTTCTCAACTAATTACGGGTAGCTTCCATCATTTAATATCACTGATATGCCTATTGAATATTATAAATACCGTAATGCCAAGATATAATGAATCAAATTCATAAGTAAAACCATTTGGTAATTGAAAAATAACAAGTGAAAACAGCCCATTGTAAGTAGAAAAATTGTTCATCAGATCAAGACTAGCATCCGATTGCTCTATTGTGGGTAAGTCGACACATGAATAAATGAAATGTTTGTGTTAAATGTAGAGCTTAGATCCTTGTTATGTCACGTACTACTAGACTACTTGAACGATCAAACCCACAACATGTATTTATAGTTTTTGACTGAAAGTAAATTCTCATTTTGGACAGCCAATAAGGGGTTTTTCTTATTCATATATTAGGGAAGCAGCACGTCGGCATTCTAGAATATTCCCCTAGTGTTGATTGGAAGGAATGCCTTCGGCTCTTCTTGGGCTTCTTGAGACTTTCATGAGTTTGCTAACGATCCATCCTTACAGTTTGTGATTATTAATAATCGGAGTTTGACATTCAAACTTTGATATCTATCCTTGCATTGGTTAAATATTTAGAAAAGAGTGAATTATTGCATGAATGAAAACAAAAGACAGAACAGAGTTAAAATTCCTGAGATAGGCTTCTTTTGCCATTGTTGGTAGACGTTGATGATCGAACAGAAACTTAATTAAATGAAGAAAAAACTCGTCTAAAACTTACTATTTGTTCATTCTATGGTTTCAATCGGTAATAGAATTATTATGAAGAAAATCTTCTTTTTCTCAAACCATAAATACTTGTTCCTACATAGATGGAAAGTGACTAGCAGTAGAATCTACGAGAGGCATGAAGTCCTCAGCCGGATTAACCTACATCACGGAGTTGATATTCACTCCAAGACTCGAACCCAATACCGTTCGTTTCAAACGCCATCGCGAGTCCAAAATAAGACGAAACGGGCGTCCTGGATTCCACTGCTAGCCACTATCCATTTTTGCTTATAATGCTTATAACTTAAAGGAACATCGACGCAGTCCGCACATATGTCAATAAGAGACTGATCAATTACAGTTCAAAATAACGATGTGAAGATACAAGTAAAACAGCACCAAGTGAATTTAAATCTTGTTACCATAGTTGACACTAATGAGTCTCAGTTAGTTTATACCAAAAAACGATGATGATTATCATACGAATGGGATCAGGAGGAGCATATTTCCTCTTTACATAGTTTATAATATCTCTCTATGAGTATATTTGTGCTAGCTTACCATCATAGAGCATCGTCAATAGATTTGATTGACTAGCTGATTCTTTCGTAATGATGATTTGATCTCTTCAGTTTAAGAATCTTTTAGATAGTCCTCGTTTTGAAATCATAAAGACTTGTTTAGAAACTAAAATACACATAGATGAAAGTTCATCTTCTTTGGTAAACTTCTGCCTACTTTTTATAAGACTTTAGACTGTAATTCTATGTTCATTTATGAAGTTTCTAGTTAATTCATCAATGTTTCTTCATCGATTATGACCATGAATCGTCTCATATGAATTGACCCTTTCACGATCTAGCTGTCAATGAACAGGTAAATCTCTAAATGAAGACAGAAGTGGTTAGAATTCACAGCTGATTGTTCGATCCACTTGTCAATATTAGTTGGCTGTTAGATAGTGTAATTAAATTAAGAGAGATATTGATCTGTGTTACCGAACATTTATACAAGGAATATAGAAACAGGGGATAATAAGAGGTATGTGATGATATAGAACACGGAGTGGTAGGGATCAAAGATATGTGCTGTTGACAGCTGCTAAATGACGTGAAACAATTGTCGATGATCCCTTACTCAACTTTAATAACTATCCAGTGAATCTGGTTTATGCTTACTTACTTACTTAATTAATTAATTGCGTCCTTACGCATGTTACTCTCAATGGAGCTTAGGTTACCGACCAACGCTCTCCAACACACTCTGCCTTGGGCCTTCCTTTCTAGTTCTATCCAATTGTTGTTCATTCTTCTCATGTCTGTTTCCATTTCTCGACGTAGTGTATTCTTTGGTCTTCCTCTTCTCCATTCACCTTAACGATTCCATATGAGGGCTTGTCTTGTAACGCAGTTGGCTGCTTTCCTCAATATGTATCCTATCCATTTGCGGCACTTCTTCCTGATTTCTTCCTCTGGTTTGTTGTCTCCCACAGTAACTTGTTGTTGATAGTGTCTGGTCAACAGATTCGAGGTATCTTACTTAGACAACTATTAATAAACACCTATATCTAGTTTATAATGTGAAATTCATTTCATAAAAGAATGTTAAAACAATATTTATGTATATCCCTTTTAAATCATTCTTATTACCGACATATTAAGTTCATAGAAAGCAATCAAATACCATTGCTTCCATGGTTGATTTCATTATTTACATACTATAAATAAACATAAAAACTTTTTAACCATAAAATAAGAATAACTCTTAATATCATTAAGTAATTTAGCTTCATTGTAACCAATGACAACCAATATGTTGACAATAGTTCCCTTTTTATTCTATATCATAATGGCGTCTTAATATCCATTAAGATGATTATTTATTCATTCATTATTAACTATTCAATTAACATTTTTAATTTTGTTATAATTGAAATTATGAATTAATTGAAATTAGACCAACCATGGAAAACCTGAAAGCAATGGACAACCGTTTCGTTCTATTGTATGACTCCTCAGTAGTACGCATTCAAGATCACACCTCGCGAGATTTAAACCCAAACCCTAACGGTCTCATGAGCGAACTCTTAACCTGTAGACCACTGAGCCGGCTAGTATCCAACGATATTATTGTCTAACTTCAACTAATCTGATTACAATTATGTGCTCACTAGTGACTGGTTCTAAGGAGTATTTCCTTGAGTTCTAGTGAGAGTCAGTGACCAGTGGAGATCAACCAGGTCTGTTGGGAGATATCAAATCACTCAAGACAATGGTGGATGGTCGTTCAATTCCATGGATTTGTTGAAGTCAGAAATTAACACCGTTGGATACCAGCCGACTAAGTGGTCTAGAGTTTAAGCGCTCGCGCACGAGACTAATGGATCCGTGGATCAAATCTCGTGAGGCGGGATCGTGCATGCGCACTATTGAGGAGTTCCACAATAGGATGAAATGGCCGTCCAGTGTTTATAGGTTTTCTGTGGTGGTCTAGCTTCAATCGACTCATGATTTCAACCGTATAGTTTTATTATAAAATGCCGTCTATTGTAGCAAGTTATTCTGAATAAGTTTATATTGAGCAAATTACTTCCTGATTCTTTCTGATATAATGTATTAAAAGAAATATCATTTACCAGTCAAACCATGTTCATTGTTGATAGAAATAATACAAGCATTATATAAAATTTATCGTTGCACAATGAAATAAGACGATACTCTTTACTTACTTACTTACTTACGCCTGTTACCCTCATAAAGGAACATAGGTCGCCAACCAGCATTCTTCATTTAACTCTGTCTTGGACAATCCTTTCCAGTTCTTTCCAGTTAACATTATTCATTTTCATGTCTACCTCTATTTCCTGGCGTAATGTGTTCTTTGGTCTTCCACTTTACCGCTTCGCTTCCGGATTTCAAGTTAGTGATTGCCTCGTGATATATGTCCCATCCACTTCCAACGTCTTTTCCTAATTTCCTCTTTAGCTGGAAGCTGGTTTGTTCTCTCCCATAAAACGCTGTTGCTGATAGTATCCGGTCAGTGAATGTTGAGTATTTTGCGTAGATAACCGTTTACAAATACTTGTAACGTCTTGACGATGGATGTAGTAGTTCACCACGTTTCAGCGCCGTACAATAGAACTAACTGTCTTGACGTTCGTATTGAAGATTTTAACTTTGAAATTAGTTGACAGTTGTTTTTAGTCCCATATATTCTTCAATTGTAGGAATGCCGTTCTTGCTTTGCCAATCGTCGCTTTTACATTTGGATCCGATCCTCCTTGTTTATTAATGATTCTTCGCAGGTACTTGAATGTTTCCACCTCTTCCAGAGTTTCGCCATCAAGTGTGATTGTGTTGGTGTTATCCGTGTTGTATTTGAAAATATTAGTTTTTTCCTTGTGTATGTTCAGCCCTATTGATGCAGAGGCTGCTGCTACATTTGC